TCTCCTAAGCCTGTGTTAACCTCTGACCTTATTTTCAGCTTTTATCCCAAAACATTTTTTCCCCATTAATTTCCCCCATAGGAATGGCTGAACGAACCAGAGGTAAATAATTTTCTATATTTTTGACGACAAGCTGGCGAGCTCTATTGGCAACTGGCAATCCCACATCACAGTGGGGATGGCAGGCTGTGTGTGCTGAACAGCATGCTGTATGTCAACTCTGAGTAAGGGAGTGAACTGGACAGTGTGTGTGTGTGTGTAACCTATACTCTCAGAGGGGATGTGTGACTCAATCTGCTTTGTACTCAAAGTGGGAGACAATGCTGGGAAAGTAGGCTGGATACTGTGGTGTGTGTGTGTGTGTGTGTATCGCTCAGTCAGTCTGACCTACAGAGATGAATGTGTCCTTAGTCACCCCACTGCAGCCAGCCCAGTGCAGTTGTCTTCCTCCCTCTTTCTTCGCTATTCTCTAACTCTGTTCTCTTTGTCTCGCTCTCTCTGTTCTTTTTTGTCTCTCTCCCTCTTCTCTCGCTCTTCTCACTCTTTACTCATGACTAATTTCTCGGTCTAGAAGGACAATACATGGCTGATGTTAAGCCCGTAGCAAAACACAAATGGAACCTTATGACTCAATACTAATATGACTCAAAACTCAATACTTGCTCAATGTGCTCTTTCCACTAATAGCACGCATAGAGAGAATGTTAGTTTAACTGTGTTTACCTTTTGTTTTGGTAGCCATAATTGAACCATAGCATATAGGCTTTCCTGATGATTCTCAGAAGGTTTCTGCTGTTTTGTAACTCTTCCAGTGCATGGCTGTTTCTCTCCAGTGGTGGGGTGTCCATATCTGGTGGTACCTCTAGGGAGAATATGATGATGACACCAATGGTTATTCCCAGGAGCATGACAAAGAGTTGGATTCCTGTTTTGTGTGTTAGTCTCATTTGTTTTTGGATGTTTTCTTTCCCTCTCTTTCTCTCCATCGTCTTGCTTGCTTTACATTTGTCTGTAAGTATATTATTATTTTTGTCTCTCAGATAGATATCGTTTTTCTGGCTTGCTCTTCTTCCTCCTTCTCCTCTACCTTCCATCTTTCATCCTACCTTCCATCTTTCATCCTGCTCCTCATCCTTCCCTCTTGTCTGTGACAATTGTGTGAAGTATTTCCCAGTTCCTCACTGCACTGCATACCTATGGATCAGACATCCAGAAGAGATATCAGAGATTTGATGAAAAGAGCCCCAACCTCCCATCTCCTTGCAACACTAGCCATGCCCAGAAAACCAGATGTGACTTATTCTCAGACACCAGAAACTACAGAAAGTACTCATAACTGCCATGTAAAAACATTACGTCAACTAATGACTTTGAAGGACAGACGCCCTTGGCGAGATTGTATTTAAACAGTGGTAACTCGGCTGGCAAGTGACTGTTTTGACGGTTGCCGTGAAAGTGGTAGACTCGTCTGTCGCTCCTGGTAACTGTGCCACTGCCATACACAGTCAGTCGCTGAGCTACAGGTGGCAGAATGTCACGGCCTTGGCAGCTCCCACTCTGCTTTGCCAATGCAGGCAACCGCAAGCCCTCTCTAATGTGATAGAACATCAATAGGGTTAAGTAACCACTTTATTTAACCACGGGAACACACAGACGCATATATGGACGCTCTCACACATTCAGGCCTTCCAACACGAGCTTCAGAAATCCCTCCCCAAATGTGATAATACCACATCAACAGCCGCTAGATAAGCCCTTTATTTAACCTGCCAAGAATGGATCTGGACACACACACACAACTGGTTGGCCACCTTCTGCTATTTTCCTTTCCTCCATTTCCTTTGGTTCATGTAACTCAAAAATGATTATGTATTCCAAGCAAACCTTTTTGGCCAATAAGAAAAACATTTTGGGCTCCAACCATGGAAGTGGAACTGTTATGTCCGGTATAGCCCAAACTTCAACAAGTCGTCTGAGGGTCGTCATTTTCCATGACTGCAGTCTTTAGCAGAATCTTCTAGCATAATCTTCTTTAATACTGCACAAATGATCGAAATGACACTGTCAAACTGAGAATCTGAGATCAATAAAAACGACCTTGTCTTGAATCCATCAATAGCCTAGGTGTGTGGAGACACATATTGTACAATATGAGGAGGAAATTATAGTCCCAAAAAACGTTCCAGTTTCACTGACTCACCCAATGATGCTCAGCTCACTCACCGGCGATGGCCAATGCGCTCGTGCCAAAAGCCTATTTCTCTTTTGTTTTACTCTGTAAAACAATGCTTTTTGCTCAATAGGCCTATTTAGATGCTGATAAAATGGGGCAGGAGAATTACTGAGGAGGCAACTCAAATGAACTCTGATTGCTTTTATTCCATTTTTTTTTTTCATTGCAAACAGTAAAAAAAAAAAAAAACTTGTCACGAGAGGTACCGATCCTGGCAAAATAGGTTCCGGAACGAAACAGTTCAAAACAGCGGTGCCGGACTCTGTTCCGGCAGGATCCGGCTCAAATTAAGCACTAGTGTTTGTGTTGACACAGCATGCTTTTCAATGCAGGATGGGTGTCATGTTTGGCTGATAAATGTACTAAAATGGGAATAAAATAGAAATTTCTACTTCAAATGGATGTCAACACATCAGAGCATGTTGACTTGGATGGGAATATCAGTTGTTTTAAATTACACTGTCAATCTTCCATAGGAAACTTATTGAAATCATAGAAATATAGATAATAGAATAGACATTCCCATGGAAATTGACAATCGGTGGGTGGACCAGCGGCCATCTTTGTGGTAGTAATTTGGTACATCAATTTACATTTCAATGATGTACCAGCTCAATTGCAGTGGTCTGAAGGGGACATGTCCATTCTATGAATTATATTTCTATGATTGAAATGACACCCACCCTGTATTTCTAGAGGTATTATTAAAGGGGACTGCTCTCTGACCTCGTGTGTTTCTGTGTGTTCCTCCCCTACAGGAGAAGGAAGGCAGGCATCCTGCCCAGTCTGGAGGACCTGCTCTTCTACACCATCGCAGAGGGCCAGGAGAAGATCCCCGTCCACAAATTTCTCACTGTGAGTCATACACACACCATCCTAACCCATTTTCATTATTAGACACCATTGTTATCAGATGCCATTATTAAGATTATTTGATGCTGTAACCATCATCTTCATCGATATCATCATTATTATCATTATCATCAATGTTATCATTGTCATTATATTTACAACATCATATTCAGAGCGACACAATTGCACATCATCACTATCGTAATTACATTTTAATAACATTAACTACATAAGGTTATATTGATCATGCTACATATATCAGCACCACCACACAGTTTTCCATTGTCGCCATCGTACATTATCATATTATTTCTATATACATTATCATGACGAATTTATTTCATAAGAGTTCGATCACTGCTGCTGCCCTGTCTCCTGTCTAGAGATAATTGAAGTGAGTCCTCAGACAGAGTGATGGGGAGGTGGTTGAAGGGTGTGAAATCTATTTCCCCCGGCCCTATCACGACATTTAGCCATTTGTCCTCTGTGTCACACATCACAGATTGATGCGCTGCCAAAAGGTTGTTGTGAGAGAGACACACACAGCGTCCTTTATTACTCCAGCTTATCTAATCTTATTGGCCTATTTATCGCCACAGTGTCCTCTTCACTGCTTTCTTTACACTCTTCCCTGGGTAGGAGGAGTGCGTAACAGAACCTTGCACACAGTCATTTATGTTTTTGTGGTAGGGCATTATCCAACGTTCTCCTGTGTCTCCTACACAATCACTTTTTAGGGAACTAGGAGCTGTGCCCATCTTCTTAACCAGGGATATTGGGTTGATAGGAACTCTGCCCAGCTTGGATTGAATCATAGTCCCATAGTATATCAATTAGTTGTTCGAACTACTGTAGATTATTGGAATGACAGCTAGAGCAGGCTCTCCCCACTGGTGGGTGTGCTGGACATGCTGTAACGTCCTCAAACAAGTGTATGAACATCTAGTTCCAAAAATTAAATACTTTTCTGTTGTGTGCCAAGGGAGTTGTGAATATAGGTGATTCTGTTGGAACTTGCAGTCCAACCCCTCTGACTATCGTTGTTATGATGCCAAGAATCATAATCACCTATATTTACAACAGCCATTGATTATTTCACAATTTCATGTAACAAATCTTATGGGGAAGAAACTATTTTCCTGACAGTTTTTCCCAACACGGCGGCATAGTTAATGGCATAGGAGAAGATGATCTGAGGGCCAGCATCAATCCACACCTAGGACCAACATATGATTTGAACACACTCACGCACCCAAACCAACACACAGATACTGACACAATATTAGGAACACTACATGAATACAAACATGTACACACAGTCAAATAATAACCCCTGGGTTTTACGGGAAAAACACATCTTCATGACTCTGCTACTTCACAGCTCTGTTCTCTTCCCTGAAGCAGATTTTGAACCAGGCTAGGTCTGTGAGAGGTTTTGCTGAGGAAAGCGACTTAACCTCGTGTTTGTGCGTCGTAACTGTAATAATGAAGTTGAAATATCGGTGGAATTATCGGCAGATATCAATATAATGGTATAAGGCCAATATCGGCTGATAATATTGGTGACACAATATATTGGCCTGGTCTCTAGGTCCCAGATCTGGTTGTACTCTTGCCAACTTCATTGCTGTTTGGCATGACAATCAGTGACAAGGAGTTCTGTGATAGTACAAACAGACTTGGGGTATATACTGTTTTTTGTATTTAACTGTTCTCCCAGGCCTCTTGAATAGCCTCCTTTCCTTCACGATCACAGAGAGCTAATCAGGTCTGATCAGTGCTAATAAAGGAGGAGAGACGAGGAAAGGCCACTTTTCATACGACTTTCAACACCAAGGACGTTTTTATGTTCCACTTTGGGCCCATCAAGGCTAAACCAGTTTTGTTACTACCCCCCCCCCCCCCCCCCCCGCAGGCACTAAAGGCCACAGGATTACGCACAGGAGATCCCCGGCTGAAGGAATGCATGGACACCCTTAAAGTCACCCTGAAGAACACCTCGGATGGAGTCATGCTGGACAGACAGCTCTTCAAGAAGTAAGTCTTGTTCCCCGGTACGAATCAGAGACGCTCAGTAGTGTTAACGATATATGGATCGATAGAGAGTGGGACGTCAATATGCTGTTGCAATTCCAGAGTTGGCTACTCTTTTCACAATATTGTACCCACCCGAACAAGGCTTTTCACATGGTCTCTTTCAGCACTGTTCAAGCAACTATGCTGGATGCGTAACCCGACCAGCTCAGTTTGGCTCAGCTCGGCTCGGGTCAGTAGTGTGAAAAGCCCTAATGAGGGATGATTAAATCATGACTGCGAGTCGTTGTGTCTGTGCAGACAGAGCTCCGGTTCCTGCGTGTTTTCCTCATCTTAACAGCTCTAGCTCATGAATCATTCATCCCGTCTCTACTCTGGGTTAAGATAGAAACCATTATTCACGTCTCGCCCGCCTGTGCCACGCTGGTGGCCACGCTAGAGGAAACCCAGTGACCTACTTCCTGCCACAATGTCACACGGCCCAGATTGGACCTAATTGTTGACATCCTGTCCTGAACCTTGTCACCTCACGTGAAACTAACCAATCCCGGTGATGTCACTTTGTTTCTATGAGCCACCTGTTTTGAGATGCATTGTAAATACATTATAGGTATTTATACATTGTTATAATTTCTTACGATAAGCCATGATGAGCTATTATGAATGCTTATAGCATGTCTTTAATGTATATTACCACCGCTGAGTAATGCTATATGAATGCATTTGTTGTCTTTAGGCCACAAAAGGCTGTGAAGATGGGCCCTGAGCTGTTATGAATGCTTACGGAAATCTTATAATGCACTATGCCATAGTGAACACGATGTGATAATAGGCAATCTAAAGTGCATTCATAATGCATTATAACGGGTGGCTTACAGAGAGTGTTACCCCAAACCCTTCCAGAACGGGTTGTATCAGACACAGAGACCCCACCAGAGCCAATAGGATGTTGTGTTGTGTCGTTCAGGCAGAAAGCTTCTGCTCATGTATAGAGCCATGACACAGGACATGTGTAGCTAACAGGGTAAAGGATGAACTTACTCAACTCCCACATAAGCAGAAGTTCAACAGTGAACTACAGTATGTTGTGCCTTGAGCTGTGTAGTTAGCTAAAAAGTTTTAAGGTGGCGTTAAAGACGTTTTACACGTTCCTACGTGCCAACTCCGACTAGGGTAAGGCCCCCACTAGGTCTCTCACCAAAGCAAAGTGCAATGGACAGCTAAGCTTGACTACGGGAGGAGATCAGGTCACGCGCACACACAAGTGATAGTGATGGGGAAAAATCAATACAGTTACATATCGCAATTTTATTTTGGATGATATTATATCGATACTTTGACTCCAAGTATCGATTTGTAGTCTAGTCTATTTGATTTATTTATTTTTGCTGGGTAGTGTTAGCTAGCGTTAGTCGGCTGTACCTACGCCAAAACTCTGGTATTTCTCATCCTATAGATTGTTCTCCATCTTCTCTTTAAATAGTGGGCCAACATGTTTTCAGCACTTTTTTTTATTTCCATGACTGATCAAAACTAATTTTCTCATGTGCTCTGCAGCAGGCATATAGTGAGCAATATGTTTGGAACATCAAATCACAATAAACTCGCAGTATCGAATCGCAATAAATATAGAATTGTGAGAATCGCAATGCATATCGAATTGGCACATACAGTGCATTCGGAAAGTATTCAGACCCCTTGACTTTTTCCACATTATGTTACGTTACAGCCTTATTCTAAAATGGATGAAACCGTTTTTTTCCTTCATCAGTCTACACACAATACCACATAATGACAAAGGAAAAAATGGGTTTTTAGAAATGTTTGCAAATGTATTAAAAATGAAATACCACATTTACATAAGTATTCAGACCCTTTACTCGGTACTTTGTTGAACACCTTTGGCAGCGATTACAGCCTTGAGTCTTCTTGGGTATGACGCTACAAGCTTGGCACACCTGTATTTGGGTTTCTCCCATTCTTCTCTGTAGATCCTCTCAAGCTCTGTCAGGTTGGATGGGGAGCGTCTCTGCACAGATATTTTCAGGTCTCTCCAGAGATGTTCGATCGGGCTTCAGTCCGGGCTGTGGCTGGGCCACTCAAGAACATTCAGAGACTTGTCCCTAAGTCACTCCTGCGTTGTCTTGGCTGTGTGCTTAGGGTCGTTGTCCTGTTGGAAGGTGAACCTTTGCCCCAGTCTGCGGTCCTGAGCGCTCTGGAGCAGGTCATCAAGGATCTCTCTGTACTTTGCTCCGTTCATCTTTCCCTCGGTCCTGACTAGTCTCCCAGTCCCTGCCACTGAAAAACATCCCCACAGCATGATGCTGCCACCACAATGCTTCACCGTAGGGATGGTGTCAGGTTTCCTCCAGATGTGACACTTGGCATTCAGGCCAAAGAGTTCAGTCTTGGTTTCATCAGACCAGAGAATCTTGTGTCTCATGGTCTGAGAGTCCTTTGGGTGCCTTTTGGCAAACTCCAAGCGGGCTGTCATGTGCCTTTTACTGAGGAGGAGCTTCCGTCTGGCCACTCTACCGTAAAGGCCTGATTGGTGGAGTGCTGCAGAGATGGTTGTCCTTCTGGTAGGTTCTCCCATCTCCACAGAGGAACTCTGGAGCTCTGTCAGTGACCATTGGGTTCTTGGTCACCTCCCTGACCAAGACCCTTCTCCCCCGATTGCTCAGTTTGCCCGGAAGAGTCTTGGTGGTTCCAAACTTCTTCAATTTTTAAGAATGATGGAGGCCACTGTGTTCTTGGACCTTCAATGCTGCAGAAATTTTTTGGTACCCTTCCCCAGATCTGTCGCTCGACACAAGCCTGTCTCTGAGCTCTACAGACAATTCCTTCGACCTCATGGCTTGGTTTTTGCTCTGACATTCACTGTCAACTGTGGGACCTTTATATAGACAGACGTGTTTCTTTCCAAATCATGTCCAATCAATTGAATTTACCACAGGTGGACTGCAAGTTGTAGAAACATCTCAAGGATGATCAATGGAAACAGGATGCACCTGAGCTCAATTTCGAGTCTCATAGCAAAGGGTCTGAATACTTATGTAAATAAGGTATTTCTGTTTTTTATGTTGAATAAATGTGCTAAAAATTGGGTATTGTGTGTAGATTGATGAGGAAAAAAATAATTTAATCAATTTTAGAATAAGGCTGTAACGTAACAAAATGTGGAAAAAGTCAAGGGGTCTGAATACTTTCCGAATGCACTGTAAGTATCGTGATAATATCGTATCGTGAGGTCCCTGGCAATTCCCAGCCGTGGTGTGTACACACACCTGTTACTCAAAGACAAACAAGCTTGTTATTGCCACAAGCTTGTTTATAGCCACACACAGACACATGCACATGCACACACCGGGCCTGACGGTTGTCATTAGCGGCCAAAGCTGTGTGTCTTATTTATAAGCTTCTGTGACAAAGGGAAATCACTTAGCAGTGCATGAGTACACTCATTCGTTCTCCCTTCCTCATCTTACCTAACATCACGCTCTGGACACCATTAAGCCATACCGGCCAACTAGCACAGGGGTTCCCAATCTTTTTCACTCAGTCCCCCCTTCCGGCAGTGTGGAACATCCCACGCCCCCCTGCGCACCATGTCTATTTCTATTGACGCAAGCACTGTTCATGACATTTTGCCATGTCTAATGTGTATTCATGTGATATTTGAGTGACTCAAACATTACAACAAAATCTATGGGCTAAAAAACCTAGCTAAAACATGTTAGTTGACATGGGCTAGTTGATCTGGACAAGTTATAAATAGCTCTCTAAGGTATGCAATGGGGGGGGGGGGGTGTTAGGAGGCTGGCCAGGGTAACATTGACAGCCACTGTTAGTTTGTAGGCTCCAATGACTCAGTTGATTGGCGTGCAGTGCTTGCAACACCAGGGTTGTATTCATTAGGGCACACTAGCAAAAGGTTTTGTTATGGAAAACATTTCTTATTGGAGAAGTTCAGGTAGTCCCTCCCTGTTTCCATCAGTTTTCTAACGTTTATTGCCTAATGAATGCGACCCAGGGTTGTGTTCTGAACGTTGCAGATGGTAATGTCTTGTGTAGAGCTCACATGATTGCTCGGCTGGTGCCATGTCATGTGTCGTGTTCGCTGCCTGCTCTTCTGCCCAGTGTCATCCATCACCACAAATGAAACGTAATCCATGGACATAATAAATATCTGTGTGTGTGTGGCGATGATCACCTATTTTAAGACACCGGGGCAAGGTGGCAACGAGGGTTGATGGCACTACTATACAGTCGCACCGAAACTGGTCCGTCTGTCTGGAGTCAAACTGGTCTCCATATCTACACACTGTGCCCAGTTATGCCCATGCCAGTCTTCCTGTTTTCATCTGCATTTAGAGGAAGTGCTGCTTGGTACAATAGGTGTCCTTGTGGTTTCCACATCCGGAAAGGTCAGAAAAGTTTGTGTGTGTACAGTTGTTCTTTCTGGGTGGTTCCCTAAAGACAACACTTCGTTATTTCCCTGTAGTTATTTCCCACCCCCCTGGAATAGTTTGTCCCTAGAACATTTATGTAACTGCAGCCTGCTAGCTGAGTCTCCAAGGCCTAGCCGATAGCTCCCTGAGGGACATGTATGTAAATGATTGCAGCAGAGAGATGGAGATGGAACTATGGGATGTCTCTGTCTCCTGGATACGCATGGGTGTTATATGCTTACATTTGTTAAATGCTAATAATGGCTAGCAACGCTCTCCTGAGGACTGGCGGCACTTTAAACACAGTATCCTACAAGAAACCATGCATTCAAACCTCTTAGATAAAGTATGGTTATCGATTTGTTCGTCAAGGATGGAAGAGAGAGGCAAGGTCTCAAGGATCTTTTGGAATACAAAACATGTTTATTAGACATTCATAACAAACAAAATCACCAGCTAGCCTAATAAACATGCCACCTCACCTTTTCTTTTTAATAGGCCATATACTGTGCTCATTGAGATAAGCATCTTTATGAATGTTCATGTAGCACTCACAAAGCTACAGTAAGTGAGTTTTGTTTATCTTAAGTTAACCAGTCATGTGACCATGGCGTTGCAGTTGGTGTTAACTGAGAGCATCTGGGAATACTTATATTAGGCCTATGTTGGGACTGCTGGAGTTTTTTTTCCCCTCCTACTGGTGTGGTTGTTGCTTTACAGTCATGGAAGGTATACACTTACCCATAATGTTTTTTGTGTGTGTGTGTGTGTGTGCATGCGACGCGTTCATGTGTTTTTGTTTGACTATCAATTTCATCCTGTGGTCACATGCAATAAAAAAGTTAATCAGTTTACAGTGCCTATTTTGTTGCTCACTATTGCTATGTTAGCTCCATGCTAACTACCTGAGCAAAGAGGGACTCATGTCGCGTAATGTCCAAATAACCTCTGCCCTCCTCCTGTCTCCAGGTGTGTCCAGAGCAACATAGTCTTGCTCACCCAGGCCTTCCGCAAGAAGTTCGTCATCCCTGACTTCCAGTCCTTCTCCTCTCACATCGACGAGCTCTACGAGAGTGCCAAAAATCTGACCGAAGGCCAGGTTGGTAATCAGCCCATCCTGGGGGAGGTGGGTGGACGCCATCCTTCTCGTCGTTGCTGTAGTCTGCCCCTTTCACCTTTTCTTTGTCTTCCACCTCCTCTGTGGTATTGTCAATGGCAGATCTTGTGTGTAGCTGGAGTTTTCGTATGTATCCTTTTCTTCTATGTGTGCTTACCTGTACATGCTTAGAATAAAGGGTTATTCGGCTGTCCCCATAGGAGAACCCTTTTTGGTTCTAGGTAGAGCTGTTTTGGGTTCCATGCAGAACCCTCTGTGGAATGGGTTTTACATGAACCCAAAAGAGTTCTACCTGGAACCAAATAGGGTTCTTCAAAGGGTTCTTCTATGAGGACAGCCGAAGAACCGTTTTAGGTTCTAGATAGCACCTTTTTTTCTAAGAGTGGATGTACATTATTAGGGGACAGCAGATATATTTTTGTTAAGGGTCTTACACGAACAGTTTGGATTACAGGTGTTGGAACTATTTCTCTGTCCACCACAGGTTGCAGACTACATTCCCCAGCTTGCCAAATTCAGCCCGGACCTGTGGGCCGTGTCTCTGTGTACCGTGGATGGACAAAGGTTAGACTCCATTATGTACTTATGAAGCTGTTGTTATTATTATTATCTTTAAGACCAACAGTTGGCAACACTGAAAATGCCCACGTGTCCGCTATTTGACGCCTATACATATACCCAGTGATAGGATATCACAAGGCCATCTGAACTGGGATAAGGGCCAGCTAAACTTCCAGTAGAAGCCAAAGATTACGATGTGAGGTCCACAGTTTCGTTCTGGTGCACTCATTGGTAATAGAGATTGTAAATGAACAACCAATCTTAGGGTGTGTGTGTTTGTGTCTGTAAACGACACTATCTCTCCGCTTTATGATGTTTGTTGTAGGATAGAAAGTCATAAAGATAACATTGGAATGAGGTGTTTTGTTATGTTTGGTTTTCATGACTCATGATTTATGATTTACAGCATGTTGAAACACCATGATGCACTAACAGCATGTTGAAACACCATGATGCACTAACAGCATGTTGAAACACCATGATGCACTAACAGCATGTTGAAACACCATGATGCACTAACAGCATGTTGAAACACCATGATGCACTAACGCATGTTGAAAATACCATGATGCACTAACAGCAGTTGAAACACCATGATGCACTAACAGCATGTTTGAACACCATGATGCACTAACAGCATGTTGAAACACCATGATGCACTAACAGCATGTTGAAACACCATGATGCACTAACAGCATGTTGAAACACCATGATGCACTAACAGCATGTTGAAACACCATGATGCACTAACAGCATGTTGAAACACCATGATGCACTAACAGCATGTTGAAACACCATGATGCACTAAATGGGGAGGGGCAGTTATGTGGATGCCTTTTCTTTCTCTGTCTATCTATTCCCTCTCTATCTATCTCTTTCTACCTACCTCTCCCTCTCTGTTTGTCTATTTCTGTTCTTCATCTTTCTTTCCTTCTATCCTGTCTCTTTTTGTTCTGTCTGTATGCCATCAGCCACAATCTCTCTCTCTACCTCTCTTTTTCACTCTCTTCCACCCCCTCCTGAGCGTCTCACTTTTTCTTCTGTCTTCTCTCCCTTCCCCTTTGTTGACGGCCCATGAGTGACGATGTCTGGTCCTAGTGACAGACCTTCTGTAACAATATCTTAACTCGCTCACTCCTCCCCCCCCTTGATTATATAGTTTGAAATACAGTGTTGATAGAGTCATCATGCTCTCCAGATATTGCACACTGCTTAGTATTCAGCCTCAGCAAGAAAACCTCCCCGGTTTAATAGTTCCTGCATGCACACAGCCGTTCTTGGCAGAGTTTAGGCAAATATCTGCATTGAAATTATATTTTTATGACACATTTCCTGAGTTCTAACTGTCCTCAAGCCGTTCTTGTGATATCAGTGTTATTATTACCTTAACAGAGCTTCTCTTACATCAGTTATCATGTGAAGTGATGACATGATGTCACTGACACATACAATCAATTAAGGTATGTGGTTTCTGATGTGTAGGAAGTCTTAAAGATAACAGTTAAGTGGGACTGGATTAACCTGTACTTAAGCCTGCTTTTGTTTCTCCTCAGACACACGGTAGGCGACACCAAGGTCCCCTTCTGCCTGCAGTCGTGTGTGAAGCCGCTGAAGTACGCCATCGCTGTGCATGACCACGGCACAGAGTACGTGCACCGCTTCATCGGGAAGGAGCCCAGCGGCCTGCGCTTCAACAAGCTGTTCCTGGACGAGGACGGTGAGCTGGGAGGGACACACATAGCTCTGTTTCTCAGAGCTGATCCTGCTGGGGCATAGAATTAGACTAGAATGGGGAAAGCCCCTCAGATCACGCCAGGGACCAGTTTGAATCCAAATCACAATAATGTTGAATCCAGATCACAATGATCCTGTGTTCCGTTCAATTCTATATCCCTGTCATCAAATGTTATTTCAAATCATTACAAGTCAGATAAATACGCAGGGACAACTCTGTGTTGCAGTGGATTGGTTTTTCCACCTGTGTCCAGAAATCTAAAATACAATTTTTATTTTATTTTTATGAGCAGTATGATGTAGCTAGGTCATAGATCGACGTACGTCATAGCCACTTTGCCTTTGAACGCTCCCCCATCACCCCCGTCCTCTCGCCATCCCTTTCTATTTGATTATTCCTCCTCTAAGTGCTTTTGATGAAGAGCCCACAAGTGATGTCTCTTTCCCCAGTCCCCTCTGTCTACAGATCGATGCTTCGAGCGTCATCATCCATCCAACACGATTATAGATGCCACTGCTTTCTAAGGGCTCTCCAGCTGATGACGCAACCACCGCGGAATACAAGGGGGGCTGTTTGGTTGTAAATGTTGGCATCGCCAATAAAAAGAGTGGGGAGAGGCCGATAAAACGTAATGAAATGAATCAGTGTCTCCTTGAGCTCCCTTACGCCACACCACCCCCAACCGCCTAAGACTATTTTCAGTCCAACCTGGCCTTTCAACAACTGTTGCTATGGCGACGGGATGAAACTTTAATGATTCAGAGGCCATTCCCTCCCTCTGTGCTCAGTAGGGGTTGGCTGACGTATGATGAGGAGTAGGGGATCTCATACCGTGTCCTCCTGCTTGCTTTTCCACCTATGATTGTACGTGTAGCGCCCTCTCGGAATACCAGTAGAAAGATCAATGGTGACCCAGGAATGGAAGAAATAGAACCTGTCAAGAGCCGTGTGTGTGTGTTTGTGTGGTCGTTCCGTCCCCCAGTCCCCGTCCCCCCCTAGCTGGCCATATGGAAATCTCAATGTTTTCCTACACACACATTATGTATTCAAAGTAAAGGTGACCTTCGTTCCCTCAACACATTTCACTACCAAATGGAGGATACACTTCACTGCCCTCCTCACCCCAAGAAAGAGGATATGCCTGTGCTGGTAAATCCGAGCAAACGTGCTTAACCTGCTTAACAAGTCACATAATAAGTTGCATGGACTCACTGTTCAATAATAGTGTTTCACATTTGTTTACTACCTCATCTCTGTACCCCACACATAGAATTATCTGTAAGGTCCCTCAGTCGAGCAGTGAATTTCAAACACAGATTCAACCACAAAGACCAGGGAGGTTTTCAAATGCTTCGCAAAGAAGGGCACCTATTTATAACTTAATTTTCCCATCATAACAGCAAATCCCTTTATTGTATGGGACACTTTTAAATGTGCCTTTTAAACAAAAGCAATTTAGGTCAAAAGAGTCCATACTAACAAAGGAAATAGAAGGTCTAACAGTACAGATATATAGCAATAAAAACTGTAACATAGAGGATCAGAATTAATTACAGAAAAAACAAAAATAAATGGATGAACTTATTCAAGAAAGATCAAGTGTAATATATTATAAAAATAAAGAAAACTGGATGGAATATAGGGAAAAATGCAGAAATGCTACCAAAAATAATTTACTGAAACTTTACAAATTACGGAATCACCCATGATTCACCAAATCATATTTTGAAGGAGGAAAGCAAAGTACCCCATTTCCTCTAACTGAAGCTAATTGTATGGATTTTTTTTCTATTGATAATGTAAAATTAACAGCCATACAGAAATAATCTTGTGAAGGTGAAATTATAGAGGAAGAACTTCTGGATGCAATTAAAGACTTTAAGTTGTCACGCCCTGGCTCTGGGGACTCTGAAATGTTGAGCCAGGGTGTGGATTTTCTATGTTTAGTTTCACGGTGTAGCTGCTATGTTGTGTTTTCTATGTTTTGGGTTTTGTTCTAGATCATATAGATCTATGTTGGTCAGGGTGGTTCCCAATCAGAGGCAGCTGTTGCTCGTTGTCTCTGATTGGGAGCCATACCTAGGTAGGCTGTTTTCAGCTATTCTTTGTGGGATCTTGTTCCTTTTGGTTTGTGTTTGTACCTTAGGACTTCACGTATCGTTTGTTGTTTTGTTCGTGTATCATTATTTAATAAATATGTTCACCTTCCACGCTGCGCCTTGGTCCTCTGTACCCGACGATCGTGACAGAAGATCCCACCAGAACTGGACCAAGCAGCGGGTCCAGGAGCCATCGCCAGGGAAATCCCTAGCGGATATCCAGCGCCTCCTCGACTGGGTCAAGCCGGGTGAGGAAGAGAGGGGCTTGACGTGGAAGCAGAAGGGCGAAAGGCTGGCGAGAAGTATGGAGACCTGGTCCACGGGTAGGAGTGAAGCCCATACATTTTTTAGGGGGGGGGCTAACGCCGTGGACAACGGGCCAGCAGGAGACCGCGACAGAGCGGCCCAGCGGGTTGGCAGAGGAGGCCGCCAGGTTAAGGGGGCCACTGGTCACTAAGGGGAAGGAAAGTGTAGAGGCACGGCGAGAGGTACTGGGGTGTGTTACCAGTCCGGTCCGGCCCGTTCCTGATCCCCGCGTAGGGCCAGGGGTGTGTGTCCCCAGTACGGTCCGGCCTGTTCCTGTCCCTCGCATCGAGCCTGTGGTGCGCGTCGCCAGCCCGGTCCGGCCTGTTCCTGCTCCCCGCATCGAGCCTGTGGTACGCTTCGCCAACCCGGTCCGGCCCGTTCCTGCTCCCCGCACCAAGTCAGTAGTGCGCTTCATCAGCCCGGTCCGGCCCGTTCCTGCTCCCCGCACCAAGTCAGTGGTGCGCTTCGTCAGTCCGGCACGGCCCGTGCCTGCTCCCCGCACCAAGACTATGGTGCGCGTCGCTAGCCCGGCCCGGCCCGCTCCTGCTCCCCGCACCAAGCCGATGGTGCGCGTCGCCAGCCCGGTCCGGCCCGTTCCTGCTCCCCGCACCAAGCCTATGGTGCGCGTCGCTAGCCCGGCCCGGCCCGCTCCTGCTCCCTGCACCAAGTCAGTGGTGCGCTTCGTCAGCCCGGCTCGGCCTGTTCCTGCTCCCCACACCAAGCCAGTGGTGTGCGTCGTCAGCCCGGCTCGGCCTGTTCCTGCTCCCCACACCAAGCCAGTGGTGTGCGTCGTCAGTCCGGCACAGCCCGTGCCTGTTCCACCGGTGCCTGGTCCGGTACCGGTCAGCTGCTCCACGTCGGAGCTAGAGCAATCCGCTCCACCAGTGTTCAGTCCAGCTCCGGCCAGCAGGGCCAGACCGGACCAGGGGTACTGTGGGGGGTTAGAGAGGGAGTGGGGATCATGCCCAGAGCCGGATCCGCCGCCAAGGCGGAGTGCCCACCCGGTCCCTCCCCTGTGGTGTTCTGTTGGCGCGGTCGGAGTCCGCGCCTTTGGGGGGGGGGTACTGTCACGCCCTGGCTCTGGGGACTCTGAAATGTTGAGCCAGGGTGTGGATTTTCTATGTTTAGTTTCACGGTGTAGCTGCTATGTTGTGTTTTCTATGTTTTGGGTTTTGTTCTAGATCATATAGATCTATGTTGGTCAGGGTGGTTCCCAATCAGAGGCAGCTGTTGCTCGTTGTCTCTGATTGGGAGCCATACTTAGGTAGGCTGTTTTCAGCTATTCTTTGTGGGATCTTGTTCCTTTTGGTTTGTGTTTGTACCGTAGGACTTCACGTATCGTTTGTTGTTTTGTTCGTGTATCATTATTTAATAAATATGTTCACCTTCCACGCTGCGCCTTGGTCCTCTGTACCCGACGATCGTGACATAAGTCCGGGAAAACTCCGGTTGGATGGCATACCAGTTGAGGTATACCAAACCTTTTTTGATATACTCAGGGGACCGTTATTAGCATGTTTTAACCAATCCTATGTAAATGGTAGATTATCAGACACTCAAGAAGGTGTTTCATTATTACTGAAACAGAATACAAGTGGGAAATATAAAGATCCTGTCCATTTAAAAAAATTGGAGGCCCCTTACACTTCAGTGTTTTCTAATGATCAATTAGTCTTTTAAAATTATAAACTTGGATTAGCAAACACAACGTTACATTGGAACACATGACTGATGGTTGCTGATAATGGGGCTCTGTACGCCTATGTAGATACTCCATTAAAAATCAGCAGTTTCAAGCTACAATAGCCATTTACAACATTAACAATGTCTACACTGTACAGTGGGGGAAAAAAGTATTTAGTCAGCCACCAATTGTGCAAGTTCTCCCACTTAAAAAGATGAGAGAGGCCTGTAATTTTCATCATAGGTACACGTCAACTATGACAGACAAATTGAGAAAAAAAATCCAGAAAATCACATTGTAGGATTTTTAATGAATTTATTTGCAAATTATGGTGGAAAATAAGTATTTGGTCACCTACAAACAAGCAAGATTTCTGGCTCTCACAGACCTGTAACTTCTTCTTTAAGAGGCTCCTCTGTCCTCCACTCATTACCTGTATTAATGGCACCTGTTTGAACTTGTTATCAGTATAAAAGACACCTGTCCACAACCTCAAACAGTCACACTCCAAACTCCACTATGGCCAAGACCAAAGAGCTGTCAAAGGACACCAGAAACAAAATTGTAGACCTGCACCAGGCTGGGAAGACTGAATCTGCAATAGGTAAGCAGCTTGGTTTGAAGAAATCAACTGTGGGAGCAATTATTAGGAAATGGAAGACATACAAGACCACTGATAATCTCCCTCGATATGGGGCTCCACGCAAGATCTCACCCCGTGGGGTCAAAATGATCACAAGAACGGTGAGCAAAAATCCCAGAACCACACGGGGGGGACCTAGTGAATGACCTGCAGAGAGCTGGGACCAAAGTAACAAAGCCTACCATCAGTAACACACTACGCCGCCAGGGACTCAAATCCTGCAGTGCCAGACGTGTCCCCCTGCTTAAG